CATCTTTGTTGAGAGCGTGAGGCTTTTCACAAATGACTGACATGGGGGTTACTGTACCTCCCCCAAAATCCATAATTCGGGCTGGTGAAGAAAGTTCTGTTGAATTCAACCTGTTCATAGGAAAAGTAGGGAGAACCTCTTTTCATGCCCTCTTCCACTCTGAAATGTTGGAGGATTAATAGGTGGAATGGCTAGTATAATAAAAAAAGATAAAAGGATAACCAAATACAATAAGGATTTATATTAACAAATGGACTGTTATATTAATAGATGAATTGATTTAATTATTAACGTTGTATTATAGATGAACTGATGTAATTGTGTACACTCACCCTTTGTCAAGGATAATTGAACACCTGTGATAAGCTTCAGAGACAGATAAGGAGCTAAAATCCCCTTCTAACCTACGCCGCATCTCCTGTTTATATTGTTCTTTTCTCTGGTAGCTGGCTGCCATCGGAAATGATTTATCTTGTAAATTTTCAAAAAAGATGTCTCAAGACGAAGTGTGGACTTTTTGTTGAAATTGTTTCCGTGATTACAAGCTGAATCCGACGAGTGCAGTGCTTAAGCAAAAGGGCAATGTCAGATGACCGCTAAAAGGTCTATTCTAAGGTCACCCCAGTCAATTTTGAAAACATATAAATCTCTCACCGTGACTGTCTGTTCCATTATTCTACTTTGTATAATATACATTTACATGTATTGCATGCCTAAAAAGTTTTATGGTACGTGATCTGCATTGTAATTTATACAGTGAAGTATTTACATTACTTGAGATGGACATGTTTATAACCTCAATGTCCTCCAAAGCACCCTGCCTTAGACGTCTCAATTTACAATAAAATATCCCAAAAGGAATTCCATAACACAAAATTAGCCAGTTCTAAATTTTTACATGTTCTTGTGTGCTTTTTTCTTCCTTTCCATAAATATACAGTTTCTTTACTATAAAAAGGTCTAAAGCTCGTTTTAACTGTAAACTGGAATTTATATTTGAAAAAGTAAGCTGGTCCGTTTTTATCGATTCATTTAAGCTTCACTACAATAAGCACTATGAAAATATGTTAAATACGTTTACATTATTTGTTTTCACAAAAAGTCATTACACACTGTATCCCGAGTATGAGGTGGTGTCACACATCCCAAAATTGACATCAGATGGTCGTGCGAGTAATCTGAATTACGCCCTTAGCTCCGAACAGTCACCAATCAAAGCAATTACTAGGTCTACTTCAGTACTCTGTAAAGGTGTCCATGACTTGACTATTTATGGGGAGTAATTCCAATATCTGTAAAATATATGTAATGTGTAACAGATGTAATGTTGAGAACGGTAAACGCAGAGAATGACGCTTCTTGTGATGCCTGTAGGACACAAAATAATTGTATAAGGAGTCTAAACAACTACATGTATGCGTGCGTTCACAATGTCGTCCACACTGTCGTACTGGGTAGTTATGTTATAAACGCACTCTATTATCAAATTAGAAGCAAATTAATGTAAAATATTTGCAATCCCAATATATATGTTCTTATTGTATCCTTAAAGGGATAACAACTGTTCACTTTGGCCAAAAAATGAAATTTCCTGGGGTAAACAACAACTTTCTAAAAATATTTGTAGCGCCCTTTGTTCCAATACGTGTGTGTGTGTGTGTGTGTTCTCCTTGTATCCTAAAAGGGATAACAACTGTTCATTTTTGTCAAAAATGAACTTTCCTGGGGTTAACAACAATTTTCCCATTTTTGTCAATGGTTAGTGAATCTATTTCTACATTAAAATTTAGTTCCTGTTTCTTTATCTAGAAAACTTGCTTTTTGTAATAATCTCTTAAGAAATCAATACAGACTATAGACATCTATGGAGGTGACATGATCGGATGGCTAGCACAGATTTTACAATAATTGCTTTAACTGCCATTTTTGGTGGTGAAATAGAATATATTGTAGTATCCTTGAGTTGTTTATAATGTTTTTTATTGTTTCATTCTAGAGTTGTTATCCCTTTAAGGTTACTTTTACATCGCCAAAAATCAATTTACAAAGTTTAAAACGGTCATAATAACATACACCATAATTACGAACATTATTGATCTTCCATGAATTTTTACAAATGAAATATATTTCTAAACTGAATGTATTGTTTTGGATTGATCAACATTCCGTTAAAAGCTAACCTAATTATCCTCCTCCTACTCTGCACCCATACAGCATGAACGTAGATAAATGAATAGCGATACCCTTTTTTGAATGCTTTAAGACGTACCTAACTCTTTACTTGGCGATGTCTCGGTCTGTCTCTACCCTTCGATCTTACATTAAAATCACTGTTTTCTTTCAAATTTGAATAGGTGCCTTGTTTTGTAAAATCAGCAGGCTGTTTTAAAAGGTCACTGCCCTGGCTTCACAAGTCTAAATGTTAAACTATTAGAAGATGACCTTGAATAATTTGTTATTACACAGCTCACGCACTCACATGCCATTTAAAGTAGCTTAAAGTCTAGGTTAATGTCAGGTAATGTTTGGTTAAGTCCCCTTTACACTGGACGTTGTTCTTTGTACGTCCCTACTAAGATCAAGAAATGTGGTCAGGACTCCCAATGGGTGTGAGCTCCGAATATAAGCTCCCATGCACTTTGCCATGATAGCGTGTCTTGTAAGCTCAATCAAATCGTGTTTCATTGTAAATGCTTCTTTGTACCTGTATAACCACGAGCGACTTGCGTGTCCAAGGCAACCAATGAGCAACAAATGCTTTCACTGGGCGACCTGCTTGCCTCCCCTGTGCGTCCCCCCTGTGCAACCCACGGTGGCCATTGCGATGTTTGAACGACCATTGAGAATCCTCGATGCATACTCTGTACCGTCATTATTGGCGATTAGTAGCGACCACGCCACGTTCTTTCTGCCTCCTGCAAGACCGATGAGCGTTGTTTTGGCGTTTGTTTTGCCATACATCTTTTCCATCAGTTCTAAATTAAGATCATCTCCAGAAAACAAAACAAAGAATTAGGAATAAGCTTCTTCAAACTACAGTTATGCAAGGTCTGCATGAATTGATAATAAGTCAGATGATCTTCGTTGTCCTTTTAAAAGGGATGGGCAGGCGCCCAAAACGAGGAGGGCTGGCTGACACAGCCAGTTCAAAAATTTTAGAAAACATATTGATTGGAGGCTGCTACGAGACCACTAGTAGCTGATACCCTAAGATGTCCTGCCACTGGTGAAAAAACACTTGCACGGCCCCGTTTGGGAGAAAAATAATAATATTTTACATTCGACTGTCGGCCGACCATTGAGCATTTTCCCTGCAACCAAAGCAATACTTGTGTCTCCTTTTCCAGCGATGCTTGTGCGTCTATCTGCATCACTTGAGCGACCGTGCAGCGACCAACCAACACTGCGTTCTTTGTACAATTGTTTTGAACACGCTCAAAACCATGGCGACCGTGGTGTCCTCGGCGATGCTTGAACGTTCTGTCAGCAATCTTTAGCCCGTTTACACTGAACGGCGTCCTCTCTGCGTCCCTCGAGCAACCTTGCAGCGTCCATCCTCCATCTTGTTCTCTCTGCAATTGTTTTGAACATGCTCAAAACATTGCGACAACCATGGCGTCTTCGGCGATGGTTGAATGTTCATTGTGCGATCTTAGCGTTTACCGCGCGTTCTTTGAGCGTCCAACGGCGACCTGGCCCCTTTTAAGGTCGCACCAAGGACGCCTTCCACTGTGAAGGGAATTTTAAAAGTTTGTTACGTAATCATGGAGAACTAAGAGGGGGATGCGTCTGGTGAAATACGAAGGCCGTTAACTTCACTAAATTGGCCACGTCAGTAAAAAGCGCAATGGTCCTGTGACGACCCGATATGTCCGATGGGCCAGATATGTCCTACGACCAGCGAACGAGCCAGATATGTCTTACAAAAAAGAGCCAGATGTGTCCGACAGGCCAGATATGTCCGACAAAAAAGAGCCAGTTATGTCCGACATATCTGGCCTGTCGGACACATCTGGCTCTTTTTTGTCGGATATATCTGGCTTGTTCGCTGGTCGTAGGACATATCTGGCCTGTCGGACATATCGGGTCGTGACCGGTCCTCATTCTTAACTTTTTGTCCTTGCAGCACGTGTTCCCTCTGTACCAAAAGAAGGGCTTCTGTGGCTGTAATAAGGCTAATTTGACCTTGGCCTTTCTGAATGGGATTTGTCGTCTGCTTAGCAGTGCAAACAACTGGTGCTCACCTACAGTGTAGCGTTCCTTTGCTTTATTTATAATGGTAACAGTCAAGGTCACAAGAGAGAGGATGTATCAATTTGATTACTATGAGCTTGCCATTTCATGGCATTAATAGAAAAAGATAGTCCATGTGTTCAAGTCGTGGCATAATGGCAAAGAATATGAAGTTAACGGACCCAAAAAGTAATTACTTTGGGGTATTTAGGGTTCTTAACACTTGCAATATTTTAAACTCGCAAAAATTGAAAAATGTTCATTTTTTAACGTATTTTCCAATCAGACCTAAACTATTATAAAGTGGACTGAGCGATTTAAGTTATGAGCGTTACAGTCAAGGTGTAAGGAAGGAGTGCATTTCATTGTTCCCGATGGCTTGAAAAAAACCCCCAATAACCCCGACGTTGTGAGGGGTTAGTTGGGATTATGCATGGACGTACGTTTAAGTCCACCCTGTAATTTTAAACTCAGCATGGGGGGTCGATATATGTTTTAAATTAAAATTATCGTTATTCCTCATATGCAGTATTATTTGTTTTATTTGCATCCAATTCATTTAACAGTTTCGAATACAATCACATATGTTGATAGGTTTAAATCTTTGAACCGGTGAGAGAGACACTGGTCAAATAAAGATTAAGGCAATATTGGGTATTTATATTTATTAGAAAAAACGTTTTTGATTATCCTCATAAAACCGTGGTAAACACACTTTATGGATAAAATATCCAGGTTTCGAGATGATAACAACCTACGAATACTGATTATTTTCCTGCAGCCCCATTTGGGTTTATTTGGCTTCATTAATTTTATTTAGCCACTGAAAATAAGAGTGCCATTTTTTCAGCTAGGGTATTTGTTTTATTATATGATATATCCGTAAAAAGTGTCTAGATATTTTAATAAAATGATAAGATAAAGACATAAAACAACATTTCCCTAATACTGTAGATTTAAAAACATAGCACCCAACCCAATCCGTATCAATACAAGAGTTTTCAAGAAATAAAACAGGCTCTAACAACCTCCTGACTGCTGCTTTACAAATGGAAAAAAAATCATCTTATCTAAAACAAATAAAATCCCATTCAAAAATCAGGGCTGTCCACCATATGGAAGAAAAGTTTATACTGCAATAATCCCAACTTATTTGGTTGGTGTATTTTTCAGCGCAGTCGGTTACGCTTTTATCTCCCACGCGGAAACAATCTGTTGCTGAATAACTTCTGTCTTCTACTGTCAATATGGCATCACAATGAATATTGATTAAAGTGATGTTTTCCATAAAAGAAGCGCAACTGACTTGCACGTTTACGTAATTTCATTTAAAGTTAGTCGCACGACGATACTTATTACCCGGAAATAGCCCCCACCTTCAAGGGCAATTGTGCAATTGTGTGTACTGAAAAGAGCATGTTGACCGAACGCCTAACCAGGTACTAGGCCTGTTATATATAAAACGAAAAAAACGTATAAATCTCGGAAAGTTTATCACGGCCAAAACTAACAATGGCCGGGCTCTATCTGCATACTTTCAATTACTGTGAACAGCACGCACTGTGTAAATTGAGGCAGTTCAAAGCCTTACGAGCTATACACCGACTCTAAGCGCAGATCGTCGATGTCTTCATGACAGGCAGGAGTCAACGTAAAGAACAGGACAGTGGCAATCACGGTGACGATCACGTAAGTACCAAAGACCAGTCTGTCAATGACGTAAGCGATCAGTTGCCATTGCGTCTTGGAACACTCTTCTTCCCTTTTCTTCTGCCCGTCTTCATCGCCGCCCTGAAGCGTGCGCAGTATGTCCTTCAGCAGTTGTGTGCTCTTTAAGAGGCTTTCGTGACCATCGGGATCGTCCTGGGGAAGACTTAGATCGCTTCTGTAGTGAGTATTGTGGCCGTTCAACCCGTTTTCGCTTTTCTTTTGATACTTCACCGCAGTCACGTTGGCTCCTCGTTCCCAACTGTGATGGGAATCCTAAAATGGACAATGCATGCCTTGTTAACGGGATGCACAATAAATTTGCCCCCGAGGAAGGCATTTCGCTTGCTGAGGTTATCGTATGTTTTATGTCACAATAATCAAAATTAGTGTTTTATGAAGAAGAAAATTACCATACTTAGAGCAACATTTTAAAAAGAACCATAAAATATATTTCAAAGAACTTTATACTGTAGTTGACGTTCTATTATGAGTAAAACTATATATAAATGCTATTTATATGAGATCTTTAATATCATGTCTTAACTATGGTTTTATATCGTCTTTGTATTAAAATATGTTTAATTATTAAAATATGCAAATATGTTAAGTCCACTGAGCTTTTAAATATTTTAAAAATATTATAAAAATTGTCATTATTATTGCTTTTTTTCTGTATAAACAGTCGCAATTAAATATAGCTTGGGCTTTAAAAATAATTCATGTTAATGTTTTTAATTAAAAGCAATTAAATAAATACAACTTTTCTGACAGTTGTCATCCAATTGTACCTCTGCAAGTACTAGTGTGGACAACAAGCCCATGCATTCTAAGAACTGAAACAACTCACCTCCGGTTCCTTTCCTCGAAGCGCCTCTTTTACCGTCTTTTTCTTTCCAATAACGGTGGCAACAAACTCTAGGAACACCTTTTGCATCCAGTAGGGCACGCTCTGGCCACGCTCACCTCTGAAGTGGATGTTGGTGACCATGATACTGGTGATGGTGGAGATACAGAGTAACACCAGCACCGTCACGAGGTAAACACCTAAGCAATAAATAAATAAATAAATAAATAAATAAATAAATAAATGCAGTCTTTTAAATTGAAAGGCAATTGAATTGAACGAAGAAAGTAGAAATGTATAAATGAATAGCAATACGGCCGGACAAACATAAAAAAAATCTTGGAAAAGTAGATAAATTACATGTTTAGGGCAATTATACATGCATTTATGGTGCGGGCGTAAAAAAAAAAGAGAAATGGAGACCAAAAACATGTGGTATCACAGATTGCCCTTTTCAACTGACACAGAATTATTGTGAGATATGTATATGGTTAAAATGAACGGTCTTACTCAAAACGGGGACAACCTCAGACTGCGTAGGTGTCAGATCGGAAACCAACTGCAGGAACACCATCAGAGCCAAGACTGCCGTCACACCAAAGGACACTTTCTCACCAGACTCAACCGGTAGATAGAAACTTATGGCGGCCATGGCAAGAACCACGATACACGGCAGTACAAGGTTGAAGATGTAGAACAAGGGTTTTCGGCACACAATCAGATAAAAGGTGACATCTGGGTAGGGCTCTGGGCAACAGCTGTAGTACTTCACGGTCCGCATAACAGGTACCTTAGCGAGACGCCATTCCCCGTTTGTCACAAAGGATTTCATGTCACCCGTTTCGGACATGTTCCGCAGGTCTAACTGGTACCCGTTGAAGTGCCAAGAGCCGAATTTGATGGGGCATCTTTGTGTGTCGTAAGGGAAGTAGTTAATATCCATCAAACAGCTGCTTTTTAGGATGATAGGAGTTCGCCAGGAGACCAAGCCTTCGCTGGTGACGGTGGCAGTGTAGGCTGATAGGTCTCGTTCTTCTTCGCGGACGCTGGAGCCAGTTCAAATGAAAGATTTGAAAGTGCAGTTCTTGTGCTGCCAATGTGAAGACAAATATCTAAAGCCCCCTTTACACTGGGCGGCGTCCTTTCTGCGTTCCGACATACGGCTCCGTTTAAGAGTAAAAAAAAACATACTTATTAATTACGAGACTCGGGATTTATTCTTTGACCACAGCGATGTCACTTTCATGGTAGCACAAAGGACGCAGAAAGAACACCGGCCAGTGTAAAGGGGGTTTAAGCTACTTCACTGAAGTGTCGAACGAAAGGTGATGCAATCCGAGCTGCTAAATACTTTAAATTGCACCTACGTAAAAAATTGCATTTCTATTGACAAAAAATAATAGAGGTAAAACTTTACTAATCCTTTATTAATGAACCTATTTTGTGTACATACTGCATCGCTAAGGAATACTATTACCATTCTAGCGTGATAACTCTACGTGTTAATCCATGCACGTATATAACACACTGAAACAACACATGGTACATACTTCAGTATATACCCACTTACTCGTTATAAATGGTAACGTCGGGTTTCCATATTGACGAAATAGAAACCTCGAAGGAAGAGATGTTATGGTAGTCAATTGGATTCCATGTTAGGATCTCATCCACCCATTGCTAAAAAAATGAAATATCATTTGATTTGAATCTAATATGTTAAATGTTTGATTCACTTACTCGTTATAAATGGTAATGTCTGGTTTCCATATTGACGCAATTGACGCCTCAAAGGAAGAGATGTTATTGTACTCAAGTGGGTTCCATGTAAGGATCTCGTCTACCCATTGCTAAAATATGAAATATTGTTTGATTGAAAACAAATGTGTCGAAACATCATAAAAGTCATTTTCACATATCGAAGAAAAGCTAGTATGAAAGCATATTTTAACAGTCCAATGGAAGTNGTTTTAAACGGTCATAATAACATACACCATAATTACGAACATTATTGATCTTCCATGAATTTTTACAAATGAAATATATTTCTAAACTGAATGTATTGTTTTGGATTGTTCAACATTCCGTTAAAAGCTAACCTAATTATCCTCCTCCTACTCTGCACCCATACAGCATGAACGTAGATAAATGAATAACGATACCCTTTTTTGAAAGCTTTAAGACGTACCTAACTCTTTACTTGGCGATGTCTCGGTCTGTCTCTACCCTTCGATCTTACATTAAAATCACTGTTTTCTTTCAAATTTGAATAGGTGCCTTGTTTTGTAAAATCAGCACGCTGTTTAAAAAGGTCACTGCCCTGGCTTCACAAGTCTAAATGTTAAACTATTGGAAGATGACCTTGAATAATTTGTTATTACACAGCTCACGCACTCACATGCCATTTAAAGTAGCTTAAAGTCTAGGTTAATGTCAGGTAATGTTTGGTTAAGTCCCCTTTACACTGGACGTTGTTCTTTGTACGTCCCTACTAAGATCAAGAAATGTGGTCAGGACTCCCAATGGGTGTGAGCTCCGAATATAAGCTCCCATGCACTTTGCCATGATAGCGTGTCTTGTAAGCTCTACCCCAAAGCTATCAAATCAAATTGCTTGCCTCCCCTGTGCGTCCCCTATGCAACCCACGGAGGCCATTTCGATGTTTGAGCGACCATCAGTTCTAAAATAAGGACATCTCCAGAAAACAAAACGAGTAATTAGGAATAAGGCCACACTTTTTTATTTTTATGGATGACATCCTCTGGGGACCCCAAAATCGGTGCGAGCG